GAGAAATTTCAAGAAAGGCAGATGAGGCCAGGAGTGGTGGCTAATGCCTGTAATCCCAGTGACTCTGAAGGCTGAGGTAGGAGGATCACAAGTTCAAAGCCAGCCTCAGAAATTAAGTGAGGCCCTACACATCTTAGTAAGATCCTGTCTCAAAGTGAAAACAAAACAAAACAAAACAAAACAAAAAAAGGAGGCTGGGGATGTGGTTCAGTGGTTAAGCACCCCTGGGTTCAATCCCCAGTACCCAAAAAAAAGAATGCAGATTATAACATCTAAAGAAACAGTACATAAATGAGGAAAGAAAAGTGTCCAGAGGAGGTTATTCTCTAATAACCTTCTGCAGAGGATTTTCTTGGGTTGGTAAAAGCTAGATTGTAGAAGATCAGGGGGGTGAATGAGAAAGTAAATGAAGTAGAAACATCTAGGCTGGGAAAGGAAGGAGCAAGACAGAGGAGGCATGTGGGTAGATAAAAGGGTCTGAGAGACTTTGGGAGCTTTAGATAAGAAAGAATTGAACATTTTCTTTATATTGAGGAGAATAGTCTAACTAGACAGGGAGGTTGAAGACATATGAGATATGATTGAAATCCTTGAAGAATCCCTGGGAAGTCAACTAGGATGGGAACGGTGGGATCACATGAAGAAAGATGAATCAACTTGGGAAAGAAGCTGGGCATTAGATAAAGTGAAAACATTAAGGGAAGAGGTAAAGGTACTTTATTTGCCATTGACCTTTCTCTGACTTTGAAATTTGAGGCAGACTCATTGGGCAGATTACCTGTGAAAGCTGAAATTTTGTAATCCTTGCTGAGGTGAATAGAGGAGGGACTCACCAAAAATCCCTATTGCCTGTGGCACACAACTCTCAGGTACTCAGCTTAGATTTGGTTTAAGGGCACTAAACTCTAAAAATAATGTTTAACTCAAGTATTTTTTTAACCTGTGGGAGAATGATTCAACTTAAATATTCAAGACATCTGTTGCTTAAATATTTGGTAGAATGAAATGTGACCATTTCTCAAGATTGTTAATATTCTTACTTGTTTCACAGTCCTCTATGTTGATATTAATTGTAAAATACTTAGTTTTCATATGTATGTTTTCTCAGTTTTTAATAATATACATTTATCCTTTAAAGTTAAAATTAATTCAATTTATTTGATTCAATTTATAATAGCTGATTGGTGTTGAGTTGCTGAGTGTTTTGCATTGTCTCCTTTTGACCTGGAACCCACCATGCATCAGCTGTTGGTTACTGGAGTTGTACAACAGATAGTAAGAGCTGCTCAGGATTATTTGCAGGAAAAAAGAAATACTGTAAGTAAACACTGTAAATCACACTAACTTAAAGTAAACCTTATTTACACTCTAATTTTTAAAGTAGTAATGCCAGGAGGTTTATGATTTAAAAAATGATCATACATTTAGAAAATTTGAAACTGATTTTGTTTTCATTAGAAAGGACCAAATGAAATTGCTGATAGCTGATCATTTTTCTCCTCTAAAAATGTCAACTTCACATAGTTCAACCTAGCATATGTGTTATTTTTTTTAGGAAATAATTACCTAAAATTTTCCAAGTAAAAAATAACTATCCATCTGTTTAGAGAAGTTAATACACAAAATTCTAGTAAGACAGAGAATTATACTAAGAAAGACATGTAGCATTATTTAGGCATTTACTTGTAAATCCTTTTGAAGGAATTTCTTAAAGGTATTTATTGTGATATTTTATATGCCATTTTCAAT